ATATTAAAAATAAACAGTCTTTCTCGTTCAGAAGGACGCAAATGGTAACGGTAACCCAGTGAGTTAAGCGATGGTCCTTTACCTTCGTAGAAGCACACTGATGGAGGAACTATCTCTCTCTCTCTCTCTCTCTTGCGCATCTGAGTTTATTTCTAGTTGAAGCAACAGGTTGTTCGAGCCTTGCGATCAGACCATCGGAAGGTCTCTGCCATAACAGAACAGCTGACAGACTAATATCCTTTCTCCGGGTGGGACATGACATTTTAAAACCGGCTGCTTAAAGTTGTGTGTACCCTATAATTCGGGGATGAACTTATCCGCAAATCCTACGTTCTCTGGAGTAGTTCAATTAGTTCATTAAAAAAAGTTTTAATTATATAGAATGCAAACTAAAAATGTGCCTATAGCTAAAATTTAGACGTGTTTAACTCTGTTTAAAGGAAAACAAATTTGTATGGTATATTTTCATCCAAGAATCAAGTCCAAATAGAACACAACAAATCTCGTGTCTAGATAACTAAATTTTGAGTGGTTATCATTCCTATTTTGTATTTATAAGGTCGCCGGTTAAATTCGGGAGGTCAGTGAGACCTCTGCTGTGCGTAGTCCTTCCAGGCAAGTTCTAGGATAATAACTTAAAACAGGACACAACCTGTCCATTTCCTATTTTTTACCAAGTCTCCATCACGCATCTCAGGAGGGCTGGCGAAAATGTAACTGGCACGGGAAAACTTAAATGCCCGCAGAAAGGCTGATCCAGAGTCACTTTGTCCGCCTAAATCCCGATACTGTTAGACCCGGGATTGAGTCTGGGCTTCGTCGGTAAGAAACAGGATGTGGGCTATGGAATGGACATAAGATGGGACGAACCCCTGTTGCGACGTCAGTGTTAAGGTCAGCTTTGGGTGCTTAACACCATAGAAGAAATCCACCAATTCTATTTATAACCATTATGAATTCATCTCGGGCTACCAGCCGTGTCAGGCGGTTTAATGGAGAAAACACCAACGGTTTTTAGAACCATCTTCGTCCTCGTCCTCAGAGTACTGAACTTCAGTAGCCCAAGAAGAATTCATTACACTTAATCGTCGTGAAAGCTCCAGACCACACCTTATGTATAACCAGTTTAGCAGAGTGGGGGTTTAAATTATCATTACAACGATACCACTGATCTTTGCCTTAATTATTCCAATCAGCTGCACTGTTGAAACTCTGTGAAAGAAAAAGAAAATGTTAGGAAGGCCATACAGATGGGATACTGACGGTCTTGAACGGTTTTAAGATGATTTTAGTTTCAGGATTTTTTTCTTTCTAAGTGAATTTTTAGGTACAATACACTCGAAACTTTAATTTCAAGTCATGTTTCCTGTAAAACGAATCGGAGATTGCAAACCAAAGGCGCTATAAAATTATTCTTTCTGGGCATAAACATAAAACTGCATCTGCCCATTTTAGATGAAAGATTCGGCCCTTAATTTTCCTCTTAACCTCTTCTTACGCCCTTCGTCATTATTCTTTTTTCTGTGGTTTTCTTTCTGTCTTTCTTCGCGTCCTTACTCCCTCCTGTTCTTCAATTAGTCCAATTCGAGAGTTTATCTCAACATTTCATACATTTTGAAATTTCCAGGCCAAGCGGCACAACGCCTTCGATGGGGCACCAGCGCACAGCAAAGTGAGATTCGAAGCAGTGTAACACGGTCTGAAAATCACATATTTCAGCGTACCTGTGTATTTATAACTAACACACTAACTGTGCAGAGTGTCTACCAAGGACCACAAAACCGCGTTTGTTTAATCTTGGGAACATGCCCAGATCTGTTCGATTGGACAATTTGAAAACTTCCAGGTTGATACTGTTTGGGAATTTTATTTGTTTGGCAGCTGATGTAAAAGTGTGTGGATTGCAAGCACAAATAAACAGAGTTGCCCGCTGTCGAATTCCGAAACAGCTGCAATTCATGGTCACAAGGCAACACGTTCCCATAACAATGCCAAGACAAAAGAAACAATAAATATTTAACAGACAATAAATCTTAACAGATTTTCATTAATCAATAAATCAAATCTACAGAACACATTCGTTATCATCCCTTATTTTCCTCATTTAATATTGCTGTTACGATGGGGCTGACTCTCTGCGAACTTGGCCACTAAAGGGCTCTGTGTGAATTTGTAGTAGCGTTGAAAGTTTACTGACAGGGTAAACCGAAGGACGAGCAGCAAACCCTGTCGGAGTCCCACTTTCTCCACCACAAACCCCACACGGACTGACCTAGGCGCGAAACCGGGCCTCCACGGTGAAAGATCGGTGACTATCGACTCTTGATTTTCCTACTTCACTTCGATTCGCCTTTATTTATTTCTTCCTTTCCACTTGCCAGAACTTTGTATCGATTGATCGCACTGCCGTACCACTCCTTCACTATACTACTAGAGTAGATCGGCCACATCTAAAATAAATAATGGAAAAAAAACCTTCATGCACTCCGTCAATAAAAAAGTCATAAACCCAAGTCGATTCATCACTTGGGAAATAAAATGGATAAATTCCAGTAAGTCACGATGCAAATAAATCTAATGGCAATTATGTTCGATTGTGAAACGCTGTTCGTCTCAGGTCAACTACGTACCTTTACACAGGGAAACCTGAGCATTGCTCTTTTACCGTCAATAAATACAGCTGAGTCACATATTACTCGCGTGACATAACAAACATGACAAATGACAAGGTGAAGGTCGCTTCCTCAGAATTCCGGGTAAATCCACGGTACAAACTCCCAACTAGATCTACATAAGACAACGTAAACCTAAACGTGAAAGGGAAAGGCGCGAACTGGTAGCTAAAATAAATACGAAGCATTGCTATGTTATGTGATTAGACGATTCTCTAAACGCATGTGCCAACAGGATGTTTCGTTACAAAAATATTCTGCTACACAAAGCGATTATAAACATGAGTGTCATTTGGAATGCTGGGCCGCGTAGAAATTGACAGACGTTTCAGAGATTCTTACTGGGGACGACAATACGTATAAATACCACACCACAGCGCCAGGATTGTCATTCAGTTAATTAAGTTATTCAATAAATCATCATCATGAACTATGCTAGAATTTAGCTTGCATTCATTTTGTAAATCATCCTGGTTCAAGTAGACTCTATGAGCATCCAAGATGAAAGCGTAGTAGCGTGTATTCCAGTGCCTGTTTTTATATTCTATTTTTCTTCATTCTGTACACGCATTATAGGAAGTTCTTTAGTTCACAGATATTTTAGACATCTGATGTTTCCTTTTATTTTCTTGAAGACAAACTCTAATTCTTATACACTTAATTTCTGGTTGCATTAGATTTCAGTTGTCCTTTGACTGACTTATTCTAATATGTACAAACAATGTCTTAATGAATGATTAATTCGTGTTGTACTCAGCAGAAAATGTTAACTGTGGTCTGAACACAAACATCACTGTGGCCATTATTCCAGTCATGACTGTACTTATAGAGTCCTAGAAGCCTCGGCTTTATGAACACCAATTTCCTTTCACTTATTTTCGATCTCTGCCCACGCCAAGTCGTTTGCTTCGAAGTCCCATTCACACATTCCAGCCCCTGGTCTGCCTACACCACTGGGTACACGGAAAGAAGCAACTCATGTGGACTACAGTTTTCCACTTACATTAATATAAATTGCACGCATTTAGAAATCCTATGGAGCACATGATTTCCGTTCGCAACGTTTAGCTACGTTCCGAATGCATTTCAGCCAGTGACCTAATTTCGATGAAACGTAGGCCGTATATTGTTTCTGTACTCATCGATTCAAATGAAGATGGCTGTCTTCTGAGATGTTGTGCCATATAGTCCGGTAGAAGTTTAGGCACTTTTCAGACGTGCTTGCTGCCTTCTTCATGAGGGTGATGAGTGACCGATCATAACCATTCTGATGAAGACAGCTAGCACCTCTACGTCGGCTAACTGCTACCTAATTAAATGGCGCAAAATCCCAGAAGTCAGCCATCTGCATTTGCGCCGCCGCTGTCAGGACCTGCCATTTCATGTATTCACATGTTATTCATCCTCTTTCGTGTTCTCAAGACCTTCCCAGTCAATGATTCGGAAGACCTTAATGACCTTTGAGTGACATACTAGCTTATATGCTGTACATACACAACGCAGTGGTTAACTGCGCGGTACAGAATTGGTATATTTGTTCTGGGGACTTAGTTCATAAAAACATATCAAAGTTTATTAATTCCTCTCGTTTATGCTAGAACGAGAACAACAACAGTCTCTTATGAAACGCAGTGATACAGATCACTTCGTAACCTGGCAACATACTTCCTAGCAACAAAGCTCAGCTTCGAAGCATGTTGTGCTGTGTTCGTCTTCCTACATCTACGTAGCTAACATTTTGCTAGTGTATGACACACTTGTATTTACTCACCTAATTTATGAATTTTTATTACAACGCAGCCTATTTATAATGCATGATAAAGCTTTGAGTAAGTTTAGCAGCAGGGAGGGCATGCATCACGTAAGGGCGAGATGAGGAATGCATATAAATTAGTCGGGAAATCTGAACAGAAGAGACCACCTGAATAAATTAGTGTATGTGAAACATAAATATTACGATCGATTTAAAACGAGGGTATGAGGATTTTGACTGGATTTGTCTGGCTCACGACACTGCATAGTGGAGGGATCAAGTGAATCGACAATTGACATTCGGGTTCGATAATTATCAGCTTCGCAAGGACTCTGCTCGCAGGATACAGAAGATATTCCAATCATATGTTTGTTTCCTTCTGAAAGAACGTAATATTCCTTCATTATGTGTATTAATGAAATAATTTTCATAAATGAACATTCAAATATCTCCAGAGAACAAGTCTGTTTGTCGCTTCTGGCCACTGAAGATGTGAAACGATCGTGAATGTCATGGAAGTAACCAACTTCCTGCAACTTGGATGTTTCCAGGGCATCAAAATTGTTACTTCTGAAACAATCTGCTTACAAGGAAATTGTGTCTAAACACAATTACACGTCTACACATCCGACGACGTAGAAACATCTCTTTCTACCTGCCTGAAGGCTTGTCACAGGAAACAACGAAGAAACACGGAAGGCAGGGCAGTCCTGAAGTTAATAATGATTATACATTATAGACAGTATTCATGGTTTCTTTACTTCAAGATAGAACGGAGGATAAAGTCCAAGAAACTATCACTACAAAAAAGAAAGCAGATTTCGTATGGAAAATTACAAGCAAGTATTTTATTTGCTTCTGAATTCTGATTGGAATTTGTAAAACTCACAGAAAATCATTCCATTTTACATAATCCTGAGTCAGTCAACTGACTTCAAGCCTAACATGCCCTGCCGATCTCATAATAATCGATCCTACTAACATTTGGTGTAGATAGCCGATTAATGAACTCCCCATTGTGCGGTTATCTCCAGATTCCTGTCACATCATCCTTAGATCTAAATATTATCCTAGGCAACCTGTTTTCCAACGCCCTCAATCGGTGTCCTGTCCTTAACCTGGAAGATTAAGTTTCACACCCATACAAACCAACGTGCTTATGTTCGGTATATTTCAATAATTACGTTTTTAGATGATAAAAAAGCAAAAATTCCGAACTTGTGACAGCAAGCATTTCCCGATTTTTCTTTGATTCCTTCAAGAATGAATTCTATTTTAAATTAAAACATTTTACTACAGAGAGGCAAAACCATTACAAATATTTATTTGAAACAATGCAAATTGTTAAATTAACGTCTGTCAATAAAATACGATTCGTCTAAATTCTTTTATGACACAGTAATTCATAAATAGAATGAAACGTCAAAGTATACGTAACTAACTGTTGTTTCCCTGCTGTTTATTTTTGTGATGGTGGGTGTGGCATTTTAACTTTGTTAGAGCGAAATGTAGTCAGTTAAATTCGTGTAGTAAATGTTCAAAGCGAGGAGGAAATGTTTGCGTGTTCGGGGATGCAATTACAATACTGAAGGTACTTTTATACATGACTGTAGCATTAGACGAGTTAACAAGAACTAACTGGCAGTGTCACTTTACGGATGATGACTAAACGTGGGCATTGGAATGAATATTATAATATAAAATAAACAAGGATAGGGGATAGCTGGAACTGAATCAGGATGTCTGTGTTGGCAGATAGGCCTTTAACTTATTTAGCGACACTATTTTAACTACAGAAGCTTTACAGCATTGAATGAGGTTCGTAGGTGAGTTTCTATAACAAACCAGATTGAAGCCGGGAACCTCAGAATATAAATATAGAATATTACCTTTACTCTAGGCTTCTCGGTTTTTTAGTACCAATGGAAATGTCATGTCTTGGAGTCTCTTTGTCACTTACAAAAGGTGGGGAAATCGACAAAATGTGTATCTCTTCACATCTGATGTCAAATTTAATCCAGCGGACAAACAAGAACAAACCAGAAATATAATTTCAAGAAAAGGACACTCTTGTTCTGAGCAAAGGGAAACAGAACTTCATGTCCTTGCAGGATTTTTGTTTAATAGAACACGTGACTTTGACATTCTTGGGTAAAGGTAAACATGATTTTCTTGAGAGAGAGATTATTACAAAAAGGAGAAAAATTCCAATTGCTTGGCAAAGCACAGGAAGTTATCGAAAGTATTGAATTTCAATCAAAACAGGTAGCCCGATACTGGAAAGGAAGACAATCCAACGAGGCAACGGCACAAATAAATCGAGATACACAGCGACTGTCATTGTCCACTGTTCTCGGAATCGAAAATGCTCCTAATAGACAACAGAACATTCAGTAAACTTATGAATCACAATGGTATATGAACCTCCAGTTTAAAATTCAGTAACACAGAATTTTCAACACAAGGTGTATTTATTGTTTGCGTATGTTTTTCAGAACATTATTTACTTAACAGTATTAATCAACTGATCTTTGTCAATTGAGATGCGTTGTTTTCTTTGCTATAGGCAATACATTTTTAAATATTATTTAGACGACCTTCGAATTCCAGGGATTAAATCTTCGGCCATATTTTATACACACTATAAGCTACGACCCGTCAATACAGCTCGGTTCATTTTCCGGGCATCTTCAACATTCGATTCGGGGAACTCCACCCAGACCCCGCGAGTAATGAAAATCAGAAGGCGTGTGAATGAACATTTCCGAGTGGTGGGCGGCAGGTGATTTCCATTACTGATTGATGCTCGTGTTTTCCTCTAGTCCTACTAGTCACTTAGCATGGCGACGGGCAATGTTTTCCTTGAAGATTTCTGTCTTCTGAGTTGTTGAGGCAGTATGACCTCTGAGACGTTGGTTAAAATCGACCAGACTACACAGCGCAACAACCCAGAAGACAGAAATCTTCATACTCACCGCTGTGAAAACCCCAAATCATACATAAATGTTTTCCTTCGTAATCGCCGGGCTTGTTCAACTTCACTGTTGGCTTTCCTTCATTATTAAGAATTATAAGCTGCATTTATGGCCACACAAGAAAAGCTGGTCTGTTGTGTTTTTTGTGTGTAGAAGTCCCAATCGCGAGCGGTGCAATGATCGCGAAGTGCAGCACGTGCAGAAAGATAACCCAATTCTTCATCGCACAACATTGCACATTCATAAAAGTAATTAATATCGTCATACTATCTCTTGCGAAAATTTGCGTCATTCTACAGCAAGAAAGTCCAACTGCAGTTAAATTAAACACTTTTTGAGACGAAAGATCAAAGAGCAAAGAATCCGCGTGTCAGAGGTTCAGCGGGAAAGTGAATCGGTTTGCTGTTTGCAGGTCTTGTGTGATAACTGTACTATGAGGGCTGCCAACACCGGTACTGAAACGCGGGTACAGACGTCCTATCTTTTCTTGCAAATGGAGAAAGAATGGATGTGTGTACCTGCTTCGTGAGGACCACAACGAGCAGAATATACCCGTTGAGTAGCAGGCCCAGGACTGTGACCATGATGAGAGGCACTCCGAGGGCAAGCGAGGTCATCACCACTCAAGTTCCAGCGACGGGCAGCGCGTCACGGCGACTCATTGCACCTCCTGCAACACAAGCGGTCCACAGTTTCTCAAGGAAATTCCTGTACTTCCAAATCGATCTCTTCACCCATCACAAACATGGCAACAAAGCGAATATTTTGAATCGGCAAAATTTTAAGTAACAGTAGTAGATATGTGTAGAAATTATCCACGAAACCAAATCATTTTCAATTTATAATTCATAACAAACTTTACTATTTAGTCTGAACAATTTTAAGGGAAGCAGATGGCATTACATTTGTATATAGGTTTATTTAGTTATTTATAGTTTATTTAACGATGCTTTTCCAGTAGTACAGCCTATAAATCGTCGACAGACTTTATTAGACAATGACGATGACTTTGATCTTTTTAAAAAAATGTTTGTGTCCATGTTTAGCCGTCAGAGCAAGAACATCTACTATAAAATCAACATACTAATTTGTATAAAATGTTGTAAGTTCAAATATATAGGAAAGACAATAACAAATAAAAATTACGTCGACGAAGATGTTCAAAAAGAAATTTTTTTTGGAAAATTCTTCATGTAACAGAAAGTACGAAACGGGAACATAGGGAAAGTCACGTGGTAAATAAATAAATGATTGCCCTGATTTGTGTTCTTACCAAATGCGATCAAAAGAAGGAATATAATATAAGCCGTACATTCAGCACGAATGATGGATATGGGAAATACATTCAAAATTTAATTCGGAAAACCTGAATGAAAGATATCTTTTGTGAGACCTAGGGACAAGCAGGAGGTTAATGATAAAATAGGTTTTTAAAATAATTTTTAGTATGTGTGGACTGATTTCAACTGGCTTAGGATATGATTCATACGTGGAATTTTGTAAATGTATTAATGACCCTTCGGGTTTCATACACAGCAGCAAGTTGAACAGTCACGATTTTCTGCTTCACTGAGAGGTTCGAACACTAAATCTGACAAAGCCGCAAAATTAAAGACTATGATCGCAATTCCTTGATCACATAATATGTACAGCGGAGACATTTTGTGTTACGCTTTCTCTTTCAGTATAAGACCCGGCTAAACCATATTTAATCCATGACAAACAACAAAATATTTTAAACATTTAAATAACAGAGAACATGAAAGATATATGATAATAATATGAAGTAGGTCATGTCGATAAATGAACACAGGTCATTTGATGGCCTAGAAAGCTGCTCATCAATACAAAACGAGTCAGAAATGTTTCATAGAAATCAATATCGTTCACCGAACGGTTACTCACCGACGCTACATTTCTGTCTTGGGTTGTTCAAAATCCTGACTAGCTAGCTAGACTGTATATTTATAATGTGATACGACCATCTGTTAAAGTGGTTTAAATGCATACGTAATAAGAATTTACAATAGCATTTTAAGGATTGTCAACCAACTCCTTGATACAGGATCTCTCAGGCATACATGATCGTTATTCTCCATTTGAAAAGAAAAGGATTATTCTCAGATTTTGCTGTGTGATCATTCTCAGGACTCATGCTAAGTGTTTATGCTGAAGGATCTTTCTCAGGGGTTGTGATAGAGTGTATCAAGCATTAACATGAAATGCTGTGTTCATTTTAAAAAAAAACTGCCCCTAATTTGACTGAGATATTTCCAGTTATTGGGAATATAATGTCGATGTTGGACGATTAACACTGAAGCGTTACATTATTGATTGATGAATTTTGCTTTTCAGTCCAAGGACCGTTCTTCCTGAAATTATGTAGTTTAACTCAGTCCCTCAAAGAAAATGTTCAGGCAAGACATTAAAAGAGGCCAATACCGCTCTCTGTCATATCCTTATCGATTCAGTAGTCCTATCACCCTAAATTCAAAGAATTCGTGATTTCATAATTCATTCTGAATCGTATCACGCAAGAAGATCTAATCAATAAAGGCAGAAGAAAAACAGTCGTGAAACAAAACTTTATATTTTTGCAGAAATAAACTAGAACGATGAACAGCACGACGATAAGTAGACCAATATTAAATTTACGTTTCATTGCCGTGTTAGGAAGAGATACATTTTGTTCCTACAGAAGGCACAGCAAGTCTCTTGCAACAGAACAAGTTCATGTCCTTCGGCGAGACGAGAAATATTTAAGCACGTCTCATGGCGACGGCAATGGCTTGTAACATTCACGAGCGCCATGTAACCTCTCAACTGTCACCAGCAGTAACAAACAGTTGTTAAGATTCTCACAGGAGTGTGATCACCAAGTCTACTTGAATAACACTCTATCACACTTGCAAAACAATAAACCACAGATTATCCTCTAACACATCAATGTGCTGGCTCGTTGCCAGCCGTATGCGTCTGTGGTGTAACGTGCAGACACGCATACAATGCAAATGTGGTCTTCATTTAATGTACCATGAACTCTTAAAAGCCCACCTACTTTTTCAATTAATAACGACTGAATGCATCTTCGGGAGCTTCTCGCTGTAAACAGCGTTAACCAGTTGATTTTGTAATGGTGAAATGTTGTGTTTTCGTTGCGGTACGGACTAAATTATTAAATATTACTCAGACAAGCTTCGACTTCAAAAGTTTCTTGGTACAAAATAACTTCCAGACTACAACGTCAAAGACCAGGAGACCAAAATCGGAATACTATGACAATGCCCTGAAATATGTCACGGCAGTCTTATTGTTAAACACTACGAATTCCAAATATGTAACTAATGAAATTAAATTATTCAATATCATGATCAGATGATCAAGTTTACTGGTTTTATGGTTCTCGGAGATCCATTGCCGTGCTCAAAAAAACATGCCCCCTATTTCAAGTTTGGCAGAAATTTATTATCCTTTCGTCCATTCGACGCCACGCTACCCCTCAGTCAATACAGCGTCCTAAAATAGCGTACGAATATATAAATAAAAGATTTGGAATCAACCAATCACCAAGCAGGTCAGTGCAGTGCGGTTCCTGTATTCAGGACAAACCCGCTTGTAATATTGATAGAGTTATCGGCTGTCTTGGATTTCGTACATCTCTGCAACGGAATATCAGCACAGTACCTCGAAACAGGCCACGTACTATTCTTCTCGTATACCCTTATATATTCACCATTTATAATCACCTTTTCACATTGTTCTTCAATATATAACATGTGTAAATGTGGCAGGTTTAGTGGATAAACCAACAAATATGGAATGTGTCCTCTTTGGAGTATACAAACGTACCAAGAACATTCTTTACGCCACACGCGAACTCGACGTATTCCACAATAGTGATTAACACACAAAGCAACCTTCCATTTGCTATCATCTCTATTTTCATAAACTCATGTATTTATTTTCTTTGTTTACAAATTTACAGACTAATGCAATAGGCCTATTACTTTGTAGGATTTGAGCTTTTCACGGCGGTCAGTCTGTAGATCGATCGCCGTGATAATGGAGGCAGCAAGGACCTCTGAAAAGTTGGTAAACTTCTACCAGACTACACGGCGCAACAACCCAGAAGGCAGCCATCTTCGGCCTATTACTTATTTATAATGCTTAACATGTAATTCAATTCTGCCGGTGTTTCGGAGGAAAATACTGCCTCCAACTTCTGGATCCATAAAAGAAGGGGATTTTTTTAATAGCTCAACGATAATTTGTTTCTTGCGAACAACTCTACTTCGTCTTACAGAGTGAAACTTAAAAATGAAATCTGTGGAGAACAAGGGATATCCGAAAATATTACACCGTGTATCTGGCATAACGATTTCCTTACTTACTCCCTAAAAACTATATCAGAATGACAAATGGGACGTGAAACTGATACAAAACGGAATCTAAGTGCCATCAGAAGTCGCTTTAGAGACACAAAAGAACACCAATGTGAAAAAGTATAGGATCTGTCTTGTTTGAAAGAACAAAACAACAAAACAAATGAAGAGCTGGAAGCTATCACACGGATTATTTCATTTATAAGGAAACGTAAAAGGTTTTTCAGTTTGTGAATGCCTGTCAAATGGGTTGTTTCTATTCCCCATCGATCATTTATACCCAAACACGGAATGCAGCCATAATACGAAAGGACATTTTGAGAATTTGATTTGTCGTTCGTTGATTCGCCAGGACGTTCTGCTGAAAAATATGACATATACAGACAGACAGATTGCTTCCTATATGGAATAAAGAACAAGAATAGTTAGCACGTGTAAACTAAAGTTCTTTGTTACGCGACGTCCTGAACTATTTCCGTCTCAGGTTAAAATGTTTTACTGGACAATTCGTTTTCATACATTTATAATTAGTTTATAATAATTAAGAGATAAAATATATTCCTTTATCTTCAGTGTTCTGTAGAGTACATACGATGATGAAGATTTTTAACTGAATAACATGACTATTAATTATCTTGTAAACAACCGAAATGTGTCTGTTTTAACTTTCTGTGTCAAAATTACGCAAGTATATGTATCTAAATTCTTCATTCTGTACCAGTGGTTTTCTGCCTGTTATGAGCTGTTTTACGACCAAAAGCACTCAACAAATGCTAATTTCCCCCCTATTTTTCCAGAAATGGAGTGTAGTTTTCGGAGTGTTTGCCTTGGCGTTGGTCGTGGCTGATACACCATATGGCCCAACTCATAATGGGGGTGTCAGTAAATTAATTGATCTGTGCTTCTCAAGCTATATAGCCTTTGAGTACATTTATCTCCATGACTACTGTAACCAGGAAACAAGGCAGAACTGTAATATTACGGATGGCTGCTTCATTATAATCGATGTTTAGACCACTGTGTATTTCTGCGAACGGGGCAGTAATATTTGACTTTGTAATAGTTGTGTGTGCACGGAGAGAAAGGATCGTTCTATGTCTCTCAAGTGAAGACATCCATTTACTTAAAGAAAAGTTTTTCACTATTATTTCATAACATTCCATAATATTTTGAAAATCAGCCTAGAATATCATTACAGTCCGCGTGGCTATAGAGGAGTGTAAGTGCACTTTTAAGGAAATATATCTGTCTATCTAAATGACTAACTAGAGGGAGCAGAGTAATTTAGGAGAAGCTGATCGTACATTCGGTTAATGAAGAATTCTTCGCGTTTTACGAAACCAGAAAGTTTATACATGTGTTTTCATCCTCAGTCACAAACGCCTTCTCATTCTATTTGCCTAAGATCCATTTAATACTGCCCTCCTATCTATGTCTAGGTCTTCCTTTGGGCTTCCCAACCGAAAACTTGTAAACGTTTCTTATTCCCCATGCTTGTTAAAATGCCCCGTCCGTCTCATCGTACTTGAGTTGATCGTTCTAATATAATTTGGTGAAGGGCACTAATTGTGAAGCTCCACATTCTGCGCCTTCCTCTAGCCTTCTGCCACTACATCCGCCTCGCGTCGACATATTCTCAAACACCCTCGATCTGTTTTCTGCCCTTAATGTGACAGACCACGTTTCACACCCATGAAAACAACAGAAAATCATAATTTTGTATATGTTCATATTTTAGCCAACATTTTAGACAGCAGACGGAAGACAAAATATTCTCAACTGAATAGTAGCAAGAATCGGCCGAGTTAAATCTGCTCTTAATTCCTTCGTAAATGATTTAAGGAAACACAATAGAAATTAAATGTGAAAGTTTACTGT